GCCGGAAGGACTGCTCTTCCAGTTGAGGAGACCCACTGTTAGAGATGAGGGAGAGGTCTACTTCTCAATCTACCTAAAAATGGGTCGAGTTTTTGTCAGCTCACTGCCTAATGGCACCCCACTGATAGCTCCAGTTTTTGTGACCACTGGTGAGAAGCAGTTTATTTTTATGGAAGTCAAAAATGGACATGTGGTTGTTGATCATGCAGGCCTTAACTATGGCATAGGAGAGATCCCCAAAATGACTGTCAACAGCGGTGATCAGGCCCATATTGGAGGACTTCCAAAAAATTGGGACTCGGATAAGTGGGGAGGACATTTCAAAGGTTGCCTCCAGGATTTTCGTTTAGATTCAGTGCATTTGGATCTGGATGGCTGGAGTAATTCAAACAGAAAAGTTTATTTATCAAGTAATGCTAAAAATGTGAAAGAAGGCTGCATCAGTGACGATACATGCAAGGTAAGAAATACTTTTCTTTGTCCTTTATTATCTTATAAGAACATTTATTTTCTGAAATGCAAAGAGATATTTTACATGAGCTCCACCACCACCACCAAAAAAAGGGAATTTGCCATTGCCTGGAAAAAAATCTAAAATATTTCATAGAAATTCATGTGAACGCTTTTTTGCCTTAATGTCATTAGGCCACAAAGGTCACTATAGGTTTGCATTGCTTTGTCATTTTGGCAGAAATATGAAGTTCCTGCCAGAAGTGACCCAGGCTGCAAGAGAAGATGGTCTTTGCAGTCACTAAGTGGGACGTTCTTGTTTTGTGTCTGTCAGTCCGTCAAAGACATGATTGTTTTGTTTGACTTTTGTGGGAGGAGTTTGTTAAGAACGTGATTGGTTGGATTGACTAATGTGGGTGGGGTTTGAAGAACAATTTGGTTGGATGAAAACAGGGCAGCTGGGTGGACGTGTAACTCAAATGAAACAGCCAGAAAACACCTACATATAACCTTAAAGGATCCCTGATTAGTTGTAACATTAGACTTTATTTGATAAACATTTAWTTTAACTGTAAAATAAAGACTGTAAAAATACTGTAGGCTGTTTAGTTTTGTAAATTTAAAAAAATATATTTTAACACACATGGAGCCATTTTATTTACACACAAAGCATTCGGTAAATGCTGATGTGGATAGGTCCTCGGTTTGAGGCTGCTAGGGAGCTATATCCACCCTGAAGGTTAATCTTGGACAATATCAGAATCAGAAACACTTTATTGCCATTGCCGGTAACGAGTTAAGGACTTGGAATTTGCTCTGGTGTAATGGTACACATAAGCAAGGATTAAGAGAACTAAAGCTAAGTGGTTGAAGTGAGGAAGGAAAACAAGACAGAATATAAAATGAAGAATGAGAACAAAAATGCAAGCACAGCTGGCAGCGATGGGCCAGAGCCGATTAAACATTGTTCATTAGTCTAATGACTGACGGGAAAAAACTCTTTCTTGTATCAGGAGGTTCTGGTCTGAATGTACCATAGTCTTTTGCTTGAGAGGAGGGGATGAAACAGGTTATGACCAGGGTGTGAAGGGTCAGCTGCGATTCTGCCATGTGCGACCTAGAGTTCTGGAGGAGTACAGCTCCTCTACAGGTCGGAGGTTGCAGCCGATCACCTTCTCGGCAGTGCGCACAATGTGCTGCAGTCTCTGTCTGTCTCTGCCTGTGGCCCCAGTTTACCATACAGTGATGGAGGAGGTGATGATGGACTCGACTGTGTATATCTGATGATTGGCTCTTTTAAATGAAACCAGAGAGCGTTGACAGAGAGGAGAAGGTAGAAATGACTCAGCCTGTAACTGAAAATATAGATGGAGGACAACAGAGCTGCTTCATGGAAAAAGAACCTCAGCTTAGCATGTTAGCTTTAGCACCGATGCTATGTTGCCTTATATGGATAAGCTCAGCGCTAGCGTGACAAACAAGCTAAACTGAGGTCCTCCATCCATATTTTCAGTTGCAGGCTGAGTCATTTTTGTGTTCCCCTCTCTGTCATGTGGATGGAGGACCTCAGTGATGAGAGGAGAATGTGTAGTGCTGAGCTAATACATATATATGGTTCGATCCCCCGTCCAGCCGTCTCAGTCGTTGTGTCCTTGGGCAAGACACTTCACCCACCTTGCCTACTGATGGTGGTCAGAGGGTCTGGTGGCGCTGGTGCATGGCAGCCCCACCTCTGTCAGTGTGCCTCAGGGCAGCTGTGGCTACAGTGTAGTTTGCCATCATCAGTGTGTGAATGTGAGTGTGAATGGGTGAATGTCTGTTAGTGTAAAGCGCTTTGGGGTCCGGAGGGACTTGAAAAGCGCTCTATAAGTTCTTTACCATTTACCATATATGGTGATAGCATTGGGGCTAATGCTAAAGCTAACAGGCTAAGCTGAGGTTCTTCTTGGTGGTGCTGGTGAATGGCAGCCTCACCTCCTTCAATGTGCCCCAGGGCAGCTGTGGCTACAATAAAAAACCATCAGTGTGTGAATGTCTGAAGGCGCTATATAAGTTCAAGCCATTTACCATTTCCCACATTGATGGTTCATACCCATTAAACAAATCTCGTCTTTGAAAGATCTGAACTAGGCTATGCTCTATTTGCCAATACATTTAGAAAGTAATATTTGGAAAATGTAGCAATTTACAGAGAATTGCTTTTTTTGTGTTCCTCACTTTTGTGTTTTCTGAAAATTTGTTTGACTGTTTCCCCCCCGCCCCAAATTAATCAATCAATAATCAATCCTTATGCTTTTCTTTACAGACCAACCCCTGTCAAAATGGAGGAAAGTGCATCATTACATTCAATGATTTTATTTGTTCTTGTCTGGAACAATATACGGGAAAGACCTGTGAAACACGTATGTGGTGTGTTAGTGATCCCTGTGTCAATGGTGGCCACTGTGTGGACCTTCTCGATGGATATGAATGTAAGAAATCGAGCTCATTATTTAAGATTTCTGACAACAGGAGCCTTTATCTTTAAAGAAATGCCTAAAGGCCTGATTACACTATAATGTTTTAGACAACCTATGCTGTATAACATTATGAAAGTTTTGCCCAAAAATTATTATCTCTACTTCAAAGATGGACTAAAAATTCTGCTAGATAAAAACATTTTCACAAGTCCATATAAGTTCTCTAAAATGTTCTAGTGTGACGTGGTCTTTAAGTTGGCATGTTTATAATGAATCATGTTGCCTCGTATAAATGAGTAAGAGGAGAGAAAATGCTGATGCAATCAATGATCTGTAACAACCAAAGCCTGTTCAGTAAAACACTAATCCTTTGATTATGTTTTTTTAATAGTCATTGATATTTTTCCATGTTTGCTCATAGGTTTGCACAACGCCACATTTGAAAATAACCCTGTGCAGTATAGCTCTGGAGGCTCCTTGGCAGAACCCATCTCTTACATTTACCTGGAGCTGCGAACTCGATCAGAGAATGCCGTGCTTCTACGGGCCACCTCAAGCTCTGACATGCTGATAGTGGGTCTGATGGATTTCTCAGTCTGGGTGGAAATCCACAGCGGCAACAATGCTGAGACACTGACCTTTAAAGGAAGCTTTCAGGTGGCCGATGGACGCTGGCATCGAGTGAATATTTCTATGGCTGATAAAACGCAAAAAGTATCCCCTTGGGTCATCACTGTGGATGGACTCAAAGACGCCAGCAGCAAGCCAAGGCAAACAGGAACAATTGGTTTTCTCAGTAAAAAGGGGGTCATGCTGACTGTTGCAGAGAGTTTTATCGGCTGCCTGGGTGCAGTGAGGCTTGAAGGTATCTATCTACCTTTTGCAGAAGCCAGTAGAGCTCCGCAGATCTCTCAGTTTCATTTAGTTGGAAAAACAAAGATTCGTTTGGGCTGCTTCAGCGCTCCAGTTTGTGAGTCAAATCCTTGTCTAAATGAAGCCACCTGTGAAGACCTCTTCAATAAATATGGTTGTGTGTGCCTAGCTGGTTGGGAGGGAGAGCATTGTGAGACAGACACTGATGACTGTGCAACCCGGCCCTGTGTTTACGGGAGCTGTAAGGACTCCTTAGCCAGTTTTGAGTGTCACTGTGACCCTGGTTATGCTGGCAAGCACTGCAACGAGGATATCAATGAGTGTGAGCATCATGCATGTGAACATGGAGGAACCTGTCAAGATGGACCCAACATGTACACCTGTGTGTGTCCGAAGGACTACAGGGGCCCTCGTTGCCAGTGAGTGTTCACTTAAATTATTATTTTTTTGGATAGGTGGTGTATAAATATGAATCACTAGAAAACTCTAAACCTACGATGGGTTGCAAAAGTACTTCCCACTGCCTCCAAAGTCAATACGTTTTTGTACCTTTTTCATGGCAAGCCAGGCGAAAAAAATATATACTAAAGTATATTAAATCTAAAGTACACTTTAGTATACTTGAAGCTGCACAAATCATCAGTAAACTTAAAGAGTGTTATTTTGGAACAACTAATTTAATACTAAATAAACTTTAATTGTATTTTAGTTGTACAAAAGTACTATTCCAAGTGTAATGAGTATACTTTTAAATACTAAATTGGAACAACTTAAAATATACATATTGTAAGTATATAAACATTAAAAGTGTACTAAGTATATTTGAAGTTGTTCCATTTTAGTATTTAAAAGTATATTTAATACACTTAAAATTGTGCTTTTGTTCAACTGAAATACAAGTAAAGTATATTTTGTATTAAATTAGTTGTTCCAAAAAAGCACTCTTTAAGTATACTGATGATGAGTGTGGCTTCAAGTATACTAAAGTATACTTAGATTTAGTATACTTAGTATAATATTTTTTAACCTGGGAAAGCTGTTCCACAAGAGAGGAGCTTGATAAGCTCTGCCTCCCATTCTACTTTTAGAAACTGGAGGAATCACAAGTACACCTGCAGTACTCAGTTAGGAAAGTATGGAAGGTTACACAATTTTAAGTGTATTAAGTATACTTTTAAATACTAATATGGAACAACTTCAAATATTTTTAGTACACTTTAAGTGTATTGCTTTGTATGTACTAATAACATGCTTAGTAAAAAATTTAGTGCACTATTTTTGTAAAGGAATTGTATTTAAATTGTATTTTTAATGTATTTCAAATTCTACAGCTGTATACTTTTAATATAGTAGTATCATAATTATAGTATACTTTTGGTGTATTATAATTAGGAAGGAAGTACAATTTTAAGCTACTTCTCAATATCATCTTTTACTCAATGCTACTTTGAATATTATATGTTTTACTTCATACTAAGAAATTTGCAAAAGTATTAGGCTACCAGTTTACTGAAGGCTGAATTTAATAATGTACCACTCAACAGTCCCTTGTTTAATTGGGAATGTTTAAATGAAGGTTAAAACAACAAACATAATCTATTTGAAAATAGTACAACTTCAGGAAAGTACTGAATTTATATTTGCAATATGTTTTTTGAAATGTGCATAAAAATATACACTTTTACAAATACAAAGTATATTAAAAACATAATATATAATGTATAGTTTAAATAATATATTTAAATTAAATGTAAAGTGTATTAAATAAAATATATTTTATAAAGTGCGCTTGAAATATATTTTAAAACAACATATCTGAAGCATGGTTTTTGAAATGTACTTTTTTGTACATTTTGAATGTAATCCTAAAAAGTATATTCTATTGATAATATATTAAAAATATATTTCTGTAAAATGCAGTCTATCTAAAATATACTTTAGCATTTTTTTTCCCACCTGGGTAGAACTATGTAAAAGTGAGATAATTCAGTAAATCAAAAGATTTCTCGAGCAAACAAATTTCTCCTGCTACCAGCAGAGCAGAAAAGGAAGTGAAACAATATGTCTTACAGCCAACATCAAAACAAACAAACAAACAAACAAACAAACAAACAAACAAACAAACAAACAAACAAACAAACAAACAAGGGTATGGTTTGAATGCTGGTGGTTGCATCATACTGTGGACCTCCACAGCAGCAGGAGCAGTCTCATTTTTCTGTTCCTACTCTCTTTGGCATCATCATGTTTAAATACTATAGATAAATCGTGACAATAAGTCCTTTTTGTTTGTGAAATAATAAGTACAATATGTAGTGAAGACATCATATAGCTTCACTTTTGTACAGCAGAAAAGAAAAAAGATTGCATCATCCATCTTTTCATATAGTTTTTTGATTGTTGTTTACAGGTGGTTTTGTAGTTTTACGTCACCAGCACTTGCAGAGCAACACACAAACCATGCAACCGTTTTCAAAGCTGTTCCAAAAACTTCTCCTTTAGGTGGAAATACCCTCCAATACAGTGCAACAAAGATGTCAAATGTGCAAATGATGGACTCTGCCATGATGGGCCGTGGGGAGCTAACTGTACGTGCATGCCAGGTTTCACAGGCAGCAGGTAAAATCACTTTTTAATACAGTTTTTACCCTATTTTTATCAAGGTATTTTTTAAACTGCAAAAGCCAAGATTCCTACTTCAGTTCGGTGGAGTTTATTATTGTCAGTTTGAACTATATATGAGCAAATGTGGGCAGTTATATTTACTGGCTTGTGATAGAAAAGAGAAATATGTTAAAAATAAAAGTGATACAGGTGTGTAAATGTCTCTTTTGCCACAAATTCTCTATATTAACTGGAGCAAAATTATTGGAACACAAGTTTATTATTAGTCTATATCAGGGATGGGCAAGCCTGGTCCTCAGCCACTATCCTGCATATTTTACTTGTTTTTCTGCTCTAACAGGTCTGATTCAGTGACTGAATTACCTCTTCAAGTTTTGCAGAAGCTTGGTAATCACTCATTCATTCAAACCTCCTGTGCTGGAGCAGAGTAACATAAAACATGCAGGATAGGAGTGTGTGGTCTATATCATGTAGAGGACATGAAGGATTTGTACATATTAAATTAGAGTCTTGTGTTAATGTGTGAGAAACAAATTGGACAGTTATTTTTTTACAAACATGTTGGTGTCTTTTGCAACATATGTTACTATAAAAAGTGCAAAAAGGAGTTTCTTGCCTCAGTGAATGAAACTGAATTAGATCCTTTACCCACTGAGACTAATGTGCCTGTAAGGTTTGCTTCAATTTAACATAAACGAATCAAATTAGGTTTAGCAGCTTATGTTAGACAAATAAGTTTGCTTTGTACTTTCAGGTCTCTCTGTAGAACACCATGAAACCGTAAACCTGGATTTGTTTTGTCTGTTATCATAATTTTAAAGAGCTACTGGAAGGATTTCAGTAAAACAATTAGAAAGATCTGTGGATTTGCATTTACATTTCAAAGGATCATTGTTTCAAACTTTAAAAGTGACACAAATTCCTTAAGAAACAAAAAATGTTAGGCTTTTAATTTCTTACAATGCTTTGCAGCAAAGTTTGAAATCATGCGGACTGATACCTTGATGTTTTTATTCTTGCAGGTGTGAAATGGAGATTGATGAATGTGTATCTAATCCCTGTCAGAATGGTGGATCCTGTTTGGATCGATACAACATGTTTTTCTGTGAATGCCCACCTGGCTATAGTGGTCCGACCTGTGATAATAATGTACGTACATTTGGCTTTTTATAAAGACTTAAAAATGCCAATAACACTGTCTCTCACTATAATAACACAGATAATAACATATATATAATAACACTGGGGCGACCATGGTTGACTGACTAACCTTTGAGGAAAACTAAATCTAACCAGAGGAGCTTTGGCCGATAAATAAAAAGGATCCAAACACAAACTTTTCTATCTGAACTCCACTTGTAGTTTTGGCCTTCACCTCAAATTGTAACTTACACAGTCTAAACCAGGGGTGTCAAACTCTTTTTCACCAAGGGCCACATGAGCGTTATGGTGGCCCTCGAAGGACCAGTTGTAATGAACTTTGATGTTTCATGTTTAACTTTGACTAAACAGAGTTTTAACACATCCTATTTTAAACACTGATAAGGACTAAGTGTATGACTGATTAAATCTGAAATAAATACAGAAATATCATTTAGTTTATGTTTGATGGTGACTTTAAGCAGCCTATTTTCAGACATTAATAATGTGTTATCCAACTAAATTGCTCAGTTTCTTAAAGCCAACAGCTCAGGGTCAGGAATTTATTCAATTTATTTTTATTTCATTTATTTTTATTAAATGTATTTTGTTGCATTTAATCATAAATTTAAAGTTTACCATTGATAAAAGAAACAAATTTCATGCTAAGTTAAACAAAAATACCCCCCCCCAACTCTTTTGCCTCTACTTTATAGTGTTGAAGAAATTTATAGTTATTTATAGATTAGTACTGATGTTAGAAAACTACACCAGAGTATAGGGTTTCGTTATTTTATAATACTTGTATAATGTTTGATCTATTATGTGTTAATTGAAATAGAGTAGCTACATGTCTGAATTTATATAAAACACATAAGTAAACCGTTTTTTAAAACCATTAGAGTGAGGTCTTTGTCTGAATGCCTGTGATTCAGCCGTAGGTCAGTAGGGGGCAAACTCAGGCATTGAAGAATCGTGTATATAAAAAGGAACTTCCTGTTTTTCTTTCAGTGTGGTTTGGCTTGTCAGCCGGTGACAAATAAACCTCACTCAGATCCAGAATTCTGGTGTTGTATGACATTTATTTCCTATCACTGATCACTTTATTTAACACTTGTGTTTTCATCTGACTTCAGCTGATATTAAACACGTATTTCTTACAGTGTGACAACTGTAAACACAAGTGAGTTTATAAAAAGGGTTACTCTGGTTCTTCTCTCAAAATTTGTTAAAAAGTTTGTTATTATTTTAACTTCTAAGACATAGTTTATAAGTTCTTCCTCACAGAGTCACACTAGACAACTTATGCCAACTTATGAACTTGAAGATGGAATTGAAAAAATCAACAGGAAGCTTCTTTTCAGCGTGAACATAATGTAATTAAAACAAATCGATCAAATTTTATTAGCAATTTAGACATAAAAAGTGTTTTATAAGTTGGCATAAGTTTAGTGTAACAGGACCTTAAAAATGCAAGAAGACAAATGTATGTACAGTATAAAGTGAAAAGGTTTATGGAAGTGAACATTTGTGAAACACTCTTAAGTTAAATCAAGTCATGTGACCTGTAATTTTGTCTCCTCTAAAAGCAACAGATTAATTAGAAAATTAGAAAATAGCCAAAAACATAAAACTTAGATTGTGATTTTTACAAAAACAGCATGATAAACAAACCCTGAACAGTTTGAGAGCCCAGTGTCCTCTGATGTGTTTATAGTTTAAATGGTTTTTCCAGATAAAACTATGCTAAGTTAGTCAGACATTAAAAGCAAACACAAACATACTAAAGATTTTATTTTAGATGTTATTTTCCAATAGAAAAAAGATGGTGTCTGCCCTCCCTACTGTTGATATCAATTATCTTTGTTACATCATAAAAATATCTCAGAATAACAACTGATGTTATCCAGTCTGATGTGATTAAACTGATCAAAAGCTAGCCAGTTCTATTACTATCAATAAGTTTAAACTTTTAATGAAAGAAGTGAAGATCCCGTCCATAAACTTGCTCTTTGTTTTTGAGTATTTTAATTTTTTTATTGTTACTTTTAAAGATAGGGTAGCTTTTGTTTGAGTTTATTTCAATGTGTTTTTGTTGAAATGTTTATAATATTGGTTGTATTAATTTTACTGTTTTACTTCTGTATAACAGGTCTGTCCTGTAAATGAGACAATTATGTTTCATTATAAAATAAGGGAATGAATGAAAAAGTCTAAATCCCACTGAGACACTTGTTTTTGCGCATCCACAGAAGCTGGCTTATAAAGAGGGGATCCCCTGGCTGATGATAACCATGCCCCTGCTCTGCCTCTTCACGGTCATACTGATCATCTGTCTGACCTTCATGGTTCTCACAGCCAGGAAGAAGCGCCAGTCAGAGGGGGCGTACAACCCCAGTGCTCAGGAACTGGCAGGAGCTCGGCTGGAGATGGACAGCATGCTGAAGGTCCCACCAGAGGAGAGACTCATCTGACCAGTTAGGAGATCGACTCCATCAGTGTCATTTAAAGAAAGAACGGCAGCACTGTGGTTATTTACACCAGGTAAAATAATTATTGAACACGTCACCATTTTTCTCAGTAAATATATTACTAGAGGTGCTAATGACATGAAATTTTCACCAGATGTCTGTAACAACCCAAGTGATCCATTCATACAAAGAAATCAAACCATAAATGTCCAGAAATGAAGTTATTTGTAATAATGTGGAATGGCAGAGGGAAAAAGTATTGAACACATGAAGAAAGGGAGGTGTAAAAAGGCACGGAAAGCCAAGACACCAGCTGAACTCTCTCAGTAATTAGAAAGCAAGCCTGCCCCTTGTCAGTGCAAGTTAATATCAGCTGGTTCAGTCCCAAATGATGGCCAGGTATCACACAAGAACCATCTGATGATGGGTAAAAATAAAGAGCTCTCTCAAGACCTTCACAACCTTATTGTTACAAAGCATAATGATGGCATCGGTTACAGAAGAATGTCTAAACTTCTGAAGGTTCCAGTGAGCACTGTTGGGGCCATAATTCAGAAGAGGAAAGAACATTATTTCACCATAAACCGACCACGACCAGGTGCTCCTCACAAGATTTCTGACAGAGGAGTGAAAAGAATTATCAGAAGAGTTGTCCAAGAGCCAAGGACCACTTGTGGAGAGCTTCAGAAAGACCTGGAATTAGCAGGTACGATTGTTTCAAAGAAAACAATAAGTAATGCACTGAACCACCATGGCCTGTATGCACGCTCACCACTCAAGACTCCACTGCTGAAGAAACAGCATGTTGAAGCTCCTTTAAAGTTTGCTGCACAACATTTAAACAAGTCTGTGTAATACTGGGAGAATATAGTCTGGTCAGATGAGACCAACATTGAACTGTTTGGATGCCAGAATACACATCATGTTTGGAGGTCAAATGGCACTGCACATCAGCTCAAAAACACCATACCAACAGTGAAGTTTGGAGGTGGGAACATCATGGTGTGGGTCTGTTTTTCAGCATATGGTACTGGCAAACTTCAAATAATTGAAGGAAAGATGAGTGGAAAAATGTACAAAGACATTCTTGATAAAAATCTGCTTCCATCTACCAGGATGATGAAGATGAAACGTGGCTGGACATTTCAGCAAGACAATGAGCCCAAACACAAAGCCAAGGAAACTCTCAGTTGGTTTCAGAGAAAGAAACTAAAGCTGCTGGAATGGCCCAGCCAATCACCTGACCTGAATCCAACAGAAAATCTATGGAAAGAACTAAAGATCAGAGTTCATAGAAGAGGTCCACGAAACCTTCAAGATTTGAAGACTGTTTGTGTGGAAGAATGGGCCAAAATCACACCTGAGCAATGCATGCCACTAGTTTCTCCATACAGGAGGCGTCTTGAAGCTGTCATTGACAACAAAGGCTTTTGTACAAAGTATTAGATAAATTTCAGTAAGTGTGTTCAATACTTTTTCCCGGTGCCATTCCACATTATTACAAATAACTTCATTTCTGGACATTTATGGTTTGATTTCTTTGATGTATGGATCACTTGGGTTGTTACCAACATCTGGTGAAAATTTCATGTCATTAGCACCTCTAGTAATATATTTACTGAGAAAAATGGTGACGTGTTCAATACTTATTTTACCCGCTGTATCAATCATTCCAAAAACTGCACCATCCACCTGTTTCAGTGGACTCTGGTGGGGCTCACACGTGCAGCGGATTTGTATTTTAAAAATGAATCTGTAAATTGTATGATTTTATTTACATGTAATATATTTTGAAATGTATATATATATATTGTCCCTGGATGAGTCAGAGACATGTTAGATGTAATGAATTCAAAAGGGATATTGGATTGTAAGATAATACTGTACTGTACGCATTCTTCTTTTGTAAATGTAAAATTAATAACAATAAGCACAAGTACCCTCTCATTCTAATCATTCAGTTCTCTCTTTTTTATAGGCAGTCAGTGAAATATGTTTTAGAGCAGGATGAAGGCAATCTGCTGTGGCGACCACTAAAGAACACATCTGACAGATGCTACAGGACTCATGTCACACAAGAAAAGTAAAGGTGTAAAGTAACAAAAATACATTTACTTTCTTACAGTACGTAAGCAATTTTTTTGAGAATTTGTAATTTTATTAAGTATTGTTTAAAAAAGTAACACTTATTTCATTACATTTAAAAAATAAAAATGTACGACAGAGTATTAGGGCCACACTACGAAGTTTATTTTTATTACGAGATTAAACTCGTTATATTACGACTTTAATCTCATAATATTATGACTTCAATTTTGTAATATTACGACTTTATTCTCGTAATATTATGACTTTATTTTCATAATATTATGACTTTAATCTCATAATATTATGACTTTAATTTCGAAATATTACAACTTTAATCTCGTAATATTATGACTTTAATTTCAAAATATTACGACTTTAATCTCGTAATAATAAATAATAAAAAACTCGTAATCTGGCCCTAACACTCCGGTCGTAAAAATTAAACTTTTACTTCACTTTAAAATTTAACACCTAGTTACAATTTAAATGTCATCATGTAAGGAGTTATTTATGCACTCTAAAATATGGAAAGTATTGAATTTACTTAACCAAGTTATAACTTGGTCATCTAGAGTTGACCAAATTGCTTTACATTACACTTACAGTGTAAAAGTACTTTTACACTCCTATTTTGGACAGTTTTACGACTTTTTTTAAATACTTATATTTGAAATCCATTTTCACCACAGCCATTCTTCTGTTAAGGTATTTTTACTTTTACTTAGTTATTTCTTTCAAATAACTTGTAGACCTCTGAGTAAAAAAATAAATAAAAATTATACCAAGTTCCATGAGACAGAAATGCTTTGCAGACACTTTATTACATAAATACATTAGTTACTGAAAATAGTACTCTTGCACTAAAACCAGTGTTCTCACAAATATAAGGTAGCCCACATGTGACAGCATAGCTAGAAACATCGATGGCATGCGCTTAAAGAAATCATCCATTCACTCTTCACATGAAACTGAAAATATCCAGATTGAAAAACCAGAAATTACAGAGTAAAATTTTATAATAGGAAGTGAAAGACTGATAAAACTAAAATGAGTATATAAGAAAAAACTCAATAGAATAGCTTTTACTGTGTTAACTTACATTTCAAAACTTGTGCATTAAATTCATTCTTTATTCATGAGTTTTTATCAGAACAAAACAATTCCAGGATTAGAACTGGAAGTGGTGGGAAAATCCCCTGAGATTGGTTACGTGTTAGTTCGAAAATATTTTTAAAAGCATTTAGATGTCTCCTAAAATATTCTCTTCTTTTTTAATTTATTACAACATGACATTAAATTATATTGTTCAAAAATGTAAACAAAATATTTATCAACTGATTTGAAGGGCTGAGTTTTTGTGGGGTTTAAAATGTAAACATTTCCTAAATTTTGTTGATTTAGACTAAACTGTGGTTAAAGAAAATAAAAATGTAGTCATTTAACTTCTTTCAGAAATCAAAATAGATATTAACAAATTTCCACACAGTTCTTCACAAGTTGTTCCTGTCATTGTGTAGATTATCATTGGCCACATGTTAAATAAAGGTCATTTTGGCATCTACGGTTCAGTTTTAGGTTTGGTCTCCAGGAAAATAAAATTCCTTTATCTTTTTTTACATAACAAAAAAATAACTATCGATGTGAAAAAGGCACCAAAGTACAAGTGTAATACATGTCAGCTAGGCGTGGTGCGGTCAGGTGCCGGGAGGGAACCATGCCTTCAGGAAGCACAGCGTTCCTCTAACCTCAGAGCTGGACCCCGCCTCTACAATGACTGCTGCTCATGGGCGAAAGTCAACTTAGAAAAACATTCACTGTGAAATAATGCCATAAAGAAAGATTCAAGTCACAATCTTATTAAGGACAAGTTTGTCCTGGGAAATGCTTGAAAACAACAAATTAGCAACTTTTCTGAATGTCCTGATGCATCTCAGTAGTTCAGGTAGAAATAATCTAAAAGAAACAATAAGTAGGTCCTCTGGATGGGTTCTTCTTTAGTGAAACGTTTCCTCTCTCCTCCAAGAGACTTCTTCAGTCTGAGTTTCAGGTGAACTCAGCCTTATAAGCTCCGCCTCCACATGGTGGACAAACAGGTTAGTCACATGCAAGAGGGCCATCGACTAACAATAGGCTTGGTTAGCTCTGTTGTTCATAGAGGGTCATGTGCCCCATCGCCTGATTTATTGGTTTGGATGCTTCGGCTGTGGTTATTGGTGTCGTGTTATGTGTATGTAGTGAGTACAAGCGGGGTTGCACTCACTACATACACATTGGGGAAACAAAACAGCCACTGTTCAAAAGAATGAACCAGCACAGACGAGCTACATCATCGGGTCAGGACTCAGCAGTTTACACTCATCTAAAGGCCAGCGGTCACCCTTTCAGGGATGAAGATGTTCTCATCCTTGATAGAGGAACATTGGTTTCAGAGAGGAGTAAAGGAAGCCATCTTTGTGATGAAAAACCGTCCACCATTAAACAGAGGTGGAGGCCTTCGTGTCCAGTTGTCTTCCTCCTCCAATGCTGTTATTGCAAGTATGACTCCGCCCTCTGTGGGCAAAAGATGTGAATCAGGGTCCCAATGATACCACACAAAGAGGGAGAGACAAAAACAAGGGGACGTTGAACCCCGCCTGCACTCACTTACACAATACACACCAAATAACCACAGCCAAAGCATCCAAACKAYTAAGTCAGGTGATGGGGCACATGACCCTCTATGAACAATAGAGCTAATCAAGCTTATTGTTAGACGATGGCCCTCTTTCGCATGTGACTAACCTGTTTGTCCACCATGTGGAGGTGGAGCTTATAAAGCTGAGTTCACCTGAAACTCAGACTGAAGACAAAACATTTCACTAAAGAAGAACCCATCCAGAGGACCTCTTTATTTTTTTCTATTTGAACTTTTCTGAATATTTTTACTTAATTAACTTTTAGTTTGACAATGAAATGTTGTAGAAAATAAATGAAAAAGCAGCATTTAAATCCAGTTCTGGTATTTTGCACAGCTCGTTACGCACAAACAAAAACCTGTAACCATTAGAGTAAGGTGGCACCAACTTCTAATTAAAAACTGCTAGAGTCACACAGCCGCTCGGGAGCGTTTATCGAAATGTAAAATGGCAAACATAACTGAAACATCATTGGACATCAATGAAATGGTCAAATAAAAAAAATATCATAAAATACCATATTAAACAGAAATGTGCAAAAGGACTTGATGTAAAATAATGGGAATGTATTCATGGGCTACATTTTCATTTTAACGATTCGAGAATGACACTTTAGAGGTGGCAGAACAACCAACTGTGTCCAGTTGACTTAAAATACCTGCAAGGTTTTGTTAAACTGGTTTTATAACATAAATAAATAAAAAAATGTTAAAAAAAAAATTTTTTTTTCCTGTTTTAAGGCTAAACGTTGAATAGGTATTGTGCTAATAGCTTCCATAAAAGCAACTTTAAAAATATGCTGTATACATATATACTTTTTTTTGTCACCAAGACTATTTAGAGGACTGGCAAGTTCATTTGAAACACTATACCACATTTAAATATATACATTAAATAGCAAGGCTTTCAGCAAACACAACAGTTACAAATACAGTGAGGAACCACAGCAGAGAAGCTGAAGAGCAGCGAGTCCCTCCAGACTTCCTAAGAGGACTGAAGAGGAGGTGGAGCAGAGTACTCCTCGTTGTCAGAGTCGCTGCTGTCCTCAACATTCTTCTCTTGGTCACTGCCTTCAGTACTCAGCTGGTCAAAGCCTTGACGAGTGTATTCCTTGTGAGAGGCAAAGAATTTCCCCAGGTTCAAAGAGCCCACAGATTTACCTTAGCAGAGATCAAACGACAAAAAGAGAAGTAAACTGTTACTAACTTGTAACACTTTTTATTTCACAATGCAGAAATTTATACTAAAACATCTAAAATCTTAAAATACGTGCATATTTTTTTAATTTTTAATTTCAATTTCTTTATCCATTTCATTAAAACAAAACAAATAATTTTATATACAATATACAATAAAAAGAAAATATAAAAAGAAAAATGAGAGAATATATA